AAGCTTAAGGTTCTGATATGATAGATATGAACTTATTACCCCAAAAAATAAAGTTGTTAGTTTAACATGGTCGGGTGCGACTCATATTTTACATTCAGATAACAACCCTTATTAATAGGAATGCAGAGACATGGTATTATTGTGGGCCTCTTTGGCTATTTTTTTTCTTCGGTAATTTGGATTTAAGATCATGAATAGTTTTTGTTGCTTAAGGCTTTTAAGTTTTATTTATATTTTTCTTGTAAACTAATACTATAACTAGTGCAAGGAAAATATAATGTTTATTGGTGGATATAGTACACATAAGGTGAATTAGGATAACATGTGTCTTCACTTTTCTTCCCTTTCTCTTTTTTGATTTGCGAATGTGTGTGTGCATGTTTGGTTCCAACAAAAACACCATGAATAATCTTATAATATATCTCTAATATCGTTATGTTTCAGAATAACCTGCAGTTTTGAGGAAGAGCGACCGAGTCTCAGGGCGGGCAGGGGTTGTCCTCGTGCTTCAGTTTGCCCAGGCTGCCCGTCTTGTGTTTGTCGAGGCTGTATCAAGTGCCGCTTTGAGGACTGCAAATGCCAGGAATGCAGAGACTTCATGCTACTTGCAGAACCTTAGGCTTTACATGCTGTTATTGGGAAATAAAATGATGTTGCAGAGAAACTTTGCTTTTCCTGTTATTGTTTTTTTTGGTGAATTTCTGAAGTACTATCTTAGTCTTTCAGTTGACCTGGTTAGAACTTGTTCCCTTTGAATAATACTTAAGAGTGTCATATGATGTTTGAAATTATCTCTGGTATGCTGCCTACTAGCTGAAGGATTACCATTTGATTTGAAACAAAACAATGCAACTATTTCTATTCAAAGTTAGAATTTAGACATTTTCAAGGATAGTTATTGTGTTACTTATGAGTATGCTCTAATAAATAGAATCAAAATAACACATAACGGGGCATAATAGGGTTGGGCTAGGTCTAAAAGCTGGAGCTCATATAGTACCTGTAAAAGAAATTTGAGTTTTTTAATAGTATTATCTGTTATGGCTTTCCTAATCATTGGTAGAAATTGAAACGTGGCATTCCTGTTGTGCTACTCAGAATCATTAATCAGACATTTTAGAAGATTATGTAACGGTACAAGACTGATTTTGACTGAACTTGAGAATCATGCACTAGATGAAAAGTGATTTCTAGTTCTGGTTTTGGCCACAAGGCATTTATTTTTTTGGATGAAGTTGGCAGTTGGCAGTTGGCACATACAATTACGAAGCTGCCATTCAATTTTCAAAGGAGGCAGTTTCCAATATGTCTTTGTTTTGAAATGATGGTTAATACGAGTCAAGGACAAAGACTTGCAGATGTTTGTTTATTTCTTTAAAGTCCAACCTTTCAGCCATGGGAAATTGTATGTTGTTATTTGTATGTAAAAGAGGGCAAAAAATATTGATCATTGACAAGAACACAAGTGACAATATTAAAGAATAATGTTTAGTTTAAGGAAAATTTTCAAATTTTATCATAGGTATGGTCCATTTTTAAAATTATCATGGCAAATAATCAACAATACTTTTCTAGTTCCTTTAATAGCAGGGCCTATTATTTCAAGTCGTTCTCTATGAAGATCTAGGCCCAACAAGATAGATACTCAGGATGAAAATTGTTCGAGATCGCTCAAAGAAGTTGTTGTGGCTATCTCAAGAGAAGTACATTGAGAAAATCTTGAAGAGGTTCAACATGGACCAATCCAAGACGGTCAATACTCCTCTGGCTGGACACTTCAAGTGGAGTCAGAAACAAGGTCCAACCAGTGATGAAGAAAGAAATGAGACGTCAAAGTCCTGTATCAGTTAGCTGTAGGCAGTCTTATGTATGCCATGATTTGCACAAGGCCTGACCTTGCTTGTGCAGTCGAGGTTGTAAGTTTGTTCCTGTCGAACGTGGGTAAGGAGCATTGGGACACCGTCAGATGGATATTCAGATGCCTCAAAGGAACAATGAATATGTGTTTGTGCTTTGGGAAAGTAAAATCCAAGTTAGAAGCCTACTCGGATGCCAACCAAGGTGGAGATGACGACTCGAGGAAGTCGACCACATGTTACATAACTACCTTTGTAGGGGGAGCTATTTCATGGCAGTCCAAACTCCCTAAGTGTGTCGCTATATCTATTATCGAGGTCGAGTACATTGTTGCAACTGAAGCCTGCACGGAGCTAGTGTGGATGAAGAGTTTCCCACAAGAGCTCGGCCACAGTTAGGAGAAGTATGTGCTAAAGTGTGATAACTAAAGCACTATACACTTCCCTGCACGGTTAAAACACATAGACGCGTGCTGCCATTGGATCCAAGATGTAACAGAAGAGAAGTTTCTGCAGCTTGACAAAGTCCATACCAACCTGAACTGGTCGAACATGATGACCAAGACGATTTCAACATGGAAGTTTGAAGATTGTTGCGAAGATGCTAGGTTGACTAACCTGTATGAGAGGGAGCTCAGATTATCCTCCCTCATGGGCACAGAGGAGGAGATTTGTTGGGTTCGTGGCCCGTAATGGACCCAACACAAATTAATGGTGCCATAATCTCTGGTTTATAAGAGATGCTTAGATGCTGAGTTGTCAGAGCAGAAAAAAGAAGAAAATGCAAAGAAAAAGAAATGCGCAGAGAAAGCACAAGCTAGAGACGAAGATTCTCTGAGGAAGAAACCCAACGCCATCGCTGAAGATGAAGATACCATGTAGAGTAGGATTCCCTATCTCCTTTACAGAGAGAAACGCTTGTGTGAGGCACTTGTGAGTATATCCATCTTTTAGAGGGTGAAGTCCTCTGGTTAGTAAGTCAGAGAGAATCTTTTGAAATCCCATTGTTCATAGTGGAAATTTTATGGACTTGGTCTCTTTACTCTTCACATCGAAGATGTTTTCCAAGTTAAAAGTTTTGGTGTTCTTTGTTCCTCCCTTTCTCTGTTTGTTTGATTTTCGATTTACTTTTCATCAATGCTTTCGCAGGCCGACCTGAAGAAGGCTGGCCTAATTGATACATAGGTTGGGCTCAAAATAGCCGGACTTCGAAACACCATACTTTACGAGACTAATTTGCGGAGATGCACACTGTTAAACAAGGAAAATTGTAGCATCTCAGAGAATATGGATACATCCTGTTGATAGAAATTAACATAAAATAAAAAAATAATATCATGATAGTGGTGGTGGTTACATTAATGGTTTTATATATTTCAACACCAACCTATCTTTGTCATGCTTATGGAACCAAATACAACAAACTATGGCAACCAAATTAGTCCCAAATTTGTCAAGATTTCTGTATTGTAGATATCATGAACAACCAACAGAATCAGTAGAACAAATCAAAATCAATAATCTGTTCGAAAGAGGATACACAATGTTAACAAATTTGACCAACAAAAAAAATAAAAAAATATTGCTGCACTAAACATCAAATTACCAAAATAATCAGATCCGAACTTGATATATTTCAAATATTATTTGACATGAGGGAAACACACCAATAACATCAAATGTAGCCAGAAAGAAAATGAGGAACGACAACATAGAGAATCAGAGAAGTTTTTACCTCACAATGTTAACATGGTTCAAATATATATATAAAATGTTTCCAATCAAGAGTAATTTAGAAAGAGAACGATCTTAACATATAAACAATCTATCTATTTGTCGGATTAAACACCTTATCTTCTGAAGTTAACTTCTATTTGGATTTTTCCAGCTGAAAGAAAGTTTCAGGGAAAACAATATTTTCCAAGCAAGGAAACCTTTTATTTTTTCCTTTATGAAAGAAACAACTGAATTGAGGATTTGATTAAAAAGGAATTGAAAAAGATAAATGCCTCAACAAAAAAGATATTGAAATAAACAATACAATTTATTATCAGGAAAAGCTATTCTTTAATCGAATATGTAAAAGCTCACATTGCTTGAAGTGGTCGTGGAATCTCCTCATTCTCCATAGCAAAGAGAACCTGAGAGCAAAGAGAGGGAGAGAGAAGAGTAGGGAATATAGAGAGAGAAAATAAGAGTTCTTGGAACGGAGAGAGTTTGAATTGAGAAAACGGTATTCTGATTTATAAGTTGCTTTATGATAAAACGGCATTTCCCGCCAAAAAAGTGGTTACTAACTGTTTAAATGGGAATCCACCTCCGCTTCATCTTCTATGTGGCTCCCAATGAAAGGAACGAACAAATATATTTTCCCATGTATTTGGTCAGAAAATAGAGAAATTCTTGCATTTTACTTTGATTGTGTGAGTCTCGTTCATGATGGGATAGCGGGGATTGTCCTTGAAGAAGGTGCAAGCAAAGATCTAATTCCTCTCTTGTTGGTTGCATTACTTGGGTTATGTTTTTGCAATCAACACAGAAAATAAAAGAATAAATAAATAAATAAAGACATAAATAGTTGAGATAAAAAAAGACAATTGAAAAGTATATTTTATTTATATTGATTTTCTTCTTTTACTTTATTTTTAGGGTATACGTGAAAAATAATAGGATAAATTATATTTACAAACTTTTTGTTTACAAAATCTTACGAACTACTGTATTTTCAAGAATGCATTTCTAATCAAGTCTATTCTCGGAAATTCATAATTGAATTTGTAAAAATAACATTTCCCAATAAATGATACGGGAAACACCATCAAAGGATTTAGTGTTTGCCATTTTAAATGATATAAGTTGTCATTTTATAAGAGAGACAGACACAGAAAAATGGAAATCATGGGAGAGAAAAAGTGTGTGGTTTTTTTTTAATTTAAAATTTAAATAAATTTTTTTTCTGTGTGTGTCTCTCTCTTAAAAGGACAGAGTGTTATGTTACTTAAAATGACAAACATTTTTCTCCACCATCAAAAGCAGCAAACCAGAATACCAAGGAAGCATTGCCACTTACATGCAAGCCTTCTAAAAATGTATGAAACCAATGAAGGAATTAAAGAAAGAATTACGATTCAAGCACAAGTAGGGTACAAAGGCCTGCCTGAAAAATAAAATGATGGCCTCTATGGGGTGGGCTGTTGGTAAGTCTACATGAACATGAGAGTTTGATAGAGAATACAATGCGGGTATTGTCCTAATCACTGTATACTAATTCTTCAACCATCCCATGGAGTGCTAATATCTATGTCTTCAAATTTAAAAATGACTAATTTTTCATATGGTTACATTACTGATCTGTGACTGATCAGCTAAAAAAAAGCAGGTCAACATGAGACTCGAGACTTTGCTTCAGAAATCAAATCATCACTCTGTTCAAACCTTCAAAATCTTCTATCTCCAGCAGCAAATCAATCATCTACTTTGTAAGTATATACCAAGAAGCAGAAAAGCCATGCTCAAATCAAGACATGATAACTCCCACCCAATACACACAAGCTGATCTCTTTAGAATATGGCGTTACCGGTAATTATGCGATTCCTCCCCCTGCCTTTTCGGGAGAAAGCAATGCTAGCTATTACTGAGTTAGCTGCATTATACAAAGCATTTGACCCCATAAGCTTCAACCCAAGGCTTTTTACCAACAATGACAACCTATGTTCATCCCCTCCATTGAGTAGTTGTAGTTGGTGCATCTGTTCACGAGATATAATAGTATAAAGCTGCAATGGTAACTTTGTGGGATTTGGATAGATGTTTAGTAACTCCTTGTAACTTTCTTCAGTACCACCAAAAGTGATTTGCAGAAGCCCCATTGACTGCGGACTTTCTGAAGAAAGATCAAATATGAAAGCAAATTTCCCACATTCCAAATCTGGCTTCTTGAATAAATCACCTAGTACATCGTTGTTTGCGCCAATATTCTTAAGTATGCTCTTCCTAGAATAATTTTGCCTAGCCCGGGCTGATTGGTAAATGCGTGAAGCTTCTCTCAAGCCACTCAAGAAAGCACCATGCATAGTAGCTGGATATTGCCTAGTTGTGGCCTCACCAGCAAAGAAGAGTCGGTTCCCCACATTTTCTGCAAGAATATCATAATCACTTCCGGATGACTGCACACTAACATGAGAGTATGAACCATAAGAAAGGGGATCGCTGCCCCATCTTGTACAAATTGACTGTATTGGATCAGGCACAATGATTCCTTTAGGATGATATATACCTGTAGAAAAAGATGTAACACATGAAATAACAATGCAAATAAGGGACAACCTGCAAAGTGAAATATCCATAATATAATAGCCCTAACTTGATTAATTAATAAATTACATGTAATTAAGTAATTAAACATGTATTAGTGGGTTGAAAGAAATAAAAGACTTAATTAAATTAATTAGAGTTACTTTTGAGGTAAAATATGCAGTCAGTGAAAATTATGGGTGTAAGTAAAAGTACCCAAAATATAAAAGTAAAATTAGAAATAGTCTTAGAAAAATATTCCAGACCTTTGGGTAAAGTTTGAAAGAGAACAGAGATAAATAGATAGATAAGCTTTTACCCGGTGGAAGTAACTTAACTATGTTAAGTGTTAAAACACAAAGCAACCTTCCTCATTTCTTCTTCTTCATTGTGAATAACAGAGAGAGGAAGAGAGTGAAGCCATTGTTGGGAAATCAAGAAAACCTAACTTCCTTATCTCTTAACCAAATCAATCCATTCCAAAGACAAACTTATGTCAAATTCCATCCTCTTCAAAACTCATCACTTAGTTTTTGTTGGGAACCATTGTGGAGGAGAAACTCCACCTTGAAAGTGGCGACCTACTTGGCTTGGAATGGCTCATTTCTTGAAGTGAGGCTTGCAATCTCTTCCTTGTATGATTCTAGATGAGTTGGTTTTTAGAAATCCCTCTTTTCTTGCATTTTATGATGTTGGGTATGTTAGGGTTTTGTTTTAAGAAAATCCATGAATAGTGGGGTATGTTAGAGAGAGATTGAAGTTAAATTCCTTTGCAAAAATTGTTAGGAATGATAAATAAACGGTAGAAGTAAAGTTAGTTTGTCATTTGATGTAGTTTCAATATTTGGGGAATATTTATGCTTGAAATTGGATTTTCTTGCATTATAAAACCATTGGTTGGTAGTATGTTTGGTTGTGTCCTTTGTATTGCTAGGATTGAGGCAAATGGACCAACTTTGAGTGGCCACCCATTGGAGCAAGCTATGGAGCTTGATTAGCTCATTTGGATAGGTAAATTCATGCCAAGTTGTGGTGTGGAATTGTGGTATTGTTGATGAATATGTTGATATTCATTAACTTGTATTGATTGATAGTGTGACACCTTTGTGTATTTTGCAAGATAGTAGCTTGAATTCAAAGTTTGATTGGATGCAAACTTGTTGGTGAACAAAGGTTGAGTTGGAAGCAAATTGGTAAGCCTTTGGACCTTGGGAATTGATCCCTTAATTGTTCCACCAAGCAAGGAATGGGTAGTGGTTGATGATAGTGTATGTAAATGCAATAAAGTAGTTTAATGCTTTGTTATATGTATGTGTTTGCACTGGGTGTGGCATAGGATGATGTTTTCCTATGTTTTGTATATTGCATGACGATGTGTAATTCATAATTGGTAGATTCTTTGATCAATAGGACTATTTGCATCTGAGTATCCTTAGGAGAGTAAGAGAGCTCGAGGGATGTCTCCTGGATATGTTTTACACACTGCATGGATATGTATTTATCGCATTATTTACTGTTATTGCTATTATACTGTGAGTGAACTAAGGGGTGGAGAGATGCTCCAAGGACCCCTGGTTTACTGTAATATATTCGTATGTCTCACCCCGTGTTGTGGGGACCCCCTTTCAGGTACAGATGTTGCAGGAGCCTCTGGTGACAAGTGACCGTATTTGAACTAGATGTCATATGTTGATAGCCTGATGTTTTGGATTGCATGCTATTTAGGATTGTTAGATGTATTTTCCATTTATATCACCCTTGTACATGTATATTTTGAGGCCATGTGATGTAGTATGGAGGACTTAGTCCATAATCATTGTTGTAGTAATCGTCTTGTTGTATATGGCTAATAGCTTTGATTATGTCTTTTGATAGCTAAGTCCTTTGGCATGTATTTATTTTGAAGAACATGGATGTAATAGGGATTATTGATACATTAATGGAATGTGATGTTATGTTTTGTCATTTTGATTTGTACAATGAAATGGTGCAGAAGATGTAACTATTGAAACATTGATGTTTTAAGATTGTCAATTAGGTCATATGGTGTGTGGGATTTAATTCCCAAAGAGAAATACATGAAAACAGAGATTTAGTGTTTTGCACAGCTTTAGGGGGCTTAAGCCCCGGAAATGGAGGCTTAAGCATGCTCAGGGGGCTTAAGCGCCCTGGTGCACCTGTGCGTAGAGAAACCCTCTGCCGCAGGGGGCTTAAGCGCCCAATAAAAGGGCTTAAGCCCTCTCTTCGAACTGAAACTGAAAAATCCTCTGCCCAAGGGGGCTTAAGCGCCCAAAATGGGGGCTTAAGCCCCCAACCCCAGTTTTAAGAAAAAACCATTATCTCTTGAAATAAGTAATAGGGACCCTCTAATTAGGTCTAATAAAGATAATAAATGATGTTAAACATAGTTTTAGTTATTCCGCAACTTCACATGGTTATAATCACGAAATTGGCAGATTAAATTACGGCCTTGATAATAAAGGAAATGAGCAACGTTTTAAAAAGAAAAATTTATCCGTATTCTTAATTGAACCAATGTGATTGTAACTGCGCTTAATATCATAAAGTAATGATAACAAACCGGTTTTAGAACGGGGTGTTACACATAATATTCAATAAACAAACACAGTAACATAAGGGCATTTAATTTTTCACCACCAAGTCATAAAACAAAAGCCATACCTCTTAGAGTGGTCAAAACCCGTTGGAGCAAAATAGACGGATCTGTGGATTCAAACATTTGTGCGGCTTCACCAGCTACCAGAGCAACAAGTGCTGGGCCTCCAGAAACAGTATGGTAACTGTAAAATAAGAAGAATTCCCCACGTTGATGACTATATTCATTGAGACATCCAAATGTGTCCAGATCTTCCCCCCAAAACACATAAGGAAAAACCATTGCAACTTTGTTCAGCAACCCAAACCCCAGCCTCTCAATTGCAGCCAGCTTTTTGGAAGGTAATTCAGGCTCAAAACTGATGGCCTTCCGTTTCAGAACTCCAAGAGGCACAGTGCATAAGGCAAAATCTGCTTGAAAGACTTGGTCCCCGGCAATAACCTCAACACCCTCATTTCCATATCTTATAGTGTTGACAGTCTTTCCATAAAATATAGGAACACCTTCACATAAAGCTTTTATCAATCTCCAATTACCTCCAGCAAGAAAGCAGTGATCACCACCCATTTCATAAGGATCATCCTGATCCCAATAGGCAGCTGAAAGATTTGAAAGACATCCAGCATTTGCATATTCTAAATTTGCAAGATGCCAATCAAGCAATTGTTTCTCATCATTACTTTGAGCCACAAAATACAAAAGCTTGAGTTTCTCCAAGACTGAACCAAGTGAGGTATCACTTGCAAACCCACCCATAATTTGCCTCATCTCCATAACTTTATCAAGCAACCTATTGAATATGAATTCAACCTTTGTATCTATTTCCTTATCAACCGGCATCCCATTTGGCTTATACAAGGGGCAATTATCTCTGACTTTATGAAGCGGTATAGAAAGCTGTCGAGCCAGAACCCCCAAAGGGTTAGCATGAATGCCAGTGATAACACTCCCACCAAGATCTATAGCAGCAAATTTATCCTCACCCCCCATCTTTTGAGTATAAACTCTGCCACCAGGACGGTTCCTACCTTCCAAAACCACAACCTTGTAACCAAACGACAAGAGCTGCCTCGCTGCTGCTAGCCCAGCAAGGCCAGCACCAATAACAACCACAGTCCCTTCAGTTGGCTCAGGAATTTGAGAAGTAAATGACGGCGAAACCCCAAAATTTATGTACCCATTATTCAAAAGAAAATCATAAGCAGAATTGATCAAAAATTCATAGTCATTGCTCACAGTTTCTTTAATCATTCCTTTTGTCAACCACAGCCTCACATTCCCCCTCCATAGAGCCAACACATGATTCCTTATGACTATATAATCATTCTGCTCCTTCCCACCCAATTCTGTCACAACCCCAGCTCTAATCTCATCCTCAAGCAAAGCATCAATAGGGAAACCAAGCGAGAAAGCAATCATAGCCTCGGTTTCGGTCTCTTTCTCCAAATCTTCTTTGGTCCTATTCCTCTTCTTCAAACCACCACCCAACTGCTTCTCAAACATCTCATCCATCAGATCCTCATCATAAGTACGCAAATTCGCTTTCTTTCTTAGCGAACGCTTCGAAATCGATCCATCGGAAGATGGGGTTTCCATTATTCCTATCTCGGTTTCACAAAAAGAACCGAAACCCCAACCCCAATAACGTACCTTAACTTCAACTATTTTCAAAACTATGCTAGATTGAGAAAATGGGTATGCAGTATTCACCAAATAGAATCAAAATTCAACTTAAAAACTATATTACAATGAGGTTACTACTAACATTTTCGTTCCATCATTTTTTAAACTTCGTCACAGTTCTAGATCATTCTTCTGCCCAAAAAGCATAGAAGGCTCAGTGGTACTTTCTGTGTTTTGACCCACTGAGAAACGAAACGGAACGAAGAATACAAGAAATGCATAGAAAAAGAAGACCAAAAAGGTAAGAACGAGAGAGAAAGAGGGCTTACAGCAATTGAGCGTGAAGGCTCTGCTTCCGAACTGCGGCAATGGGAAGGGCAAAAAGATAATAAAAACCAGAATTAACAGATTAACGATAGGCTTTTGCCTGGCCCATAAGATGGTCCTGGGCCTATTGGGCCACTCACAACACCTAGGTTAATTATTAGCCCTTTAATGGCCCATTTACTTATTCAAACTGTACTGACCTTAGACCCGGCGGGACTTTCAAAATGGGTTTAAATCTCTAAACCGATTGGTTAAATTGAATAATGTCACAAAAATAATGTACTACATACAACAATGTGATAACACCATGGAAAATTAGTAGTCTACCTATGGAACGTTGGTTCAAACTTAGGAAAACTAACCATAATGCCATTGTTTGGAAATTTTTTTTTGCTTAACTGCCACGCGAACAGTAAATTTTTTTCAAAGCGTCAGGCGTACGAATTTGTTAAAGCAGGTAAAGAACTTTGTTTGCAAACATGACACCTAGTTTGCTACTACCAATAGCGAACTAGGTGGTCAAAAGTCAAACTACTCTGAACAAAAGTAGGACACGTATAAGGTAGCGAACTAGAAAGAGGATGACACATGTTCTGCTTTTGCTCAGAGCAGTCTGACTTTTGACCCCCTAGATCGCTATTGATAATAGCGAGCTAGGTGCCACATCTGTAAATAAAGTTCGCTACCTGTTGTAGTGAACTTCTGCGCATGACATTTTGAAAAAATTTACTTGTTCGTGTGGCAGTTGAACAAATATTTTTTCAAACAGTGACATTATAGTCATTGTTCCTCAAACTGAATTCAACAATGGGTTTGAGTCAACTTAAATATAACCTAACTCAACCTATGGGTAGGCCTAATCGTAGAAGGATTTATCAACTTAAAAAAGACAACAACAAAAATTTAGGTCATTGTATGGATTATGGGTTCAAGCCTGGCACTACATAAGGCTAATAATGCCATAAGCTAGAGGCCTAATACTATTAGTAAACAAGTGACCGCCTATAACGGTGTGGTAATATGATATACATTTCATGCCCATGTGATGGTTCTTATGATGTTTATATGGTATAGAATAAGAGTTAGGATATTCTTACTACCAATTTTTTTACTACTACTCTAATCACCATTGGATTAGAGGAAAAGTTGAATGAAGAGAGAGAAAAAAAAATAACTTTTGAATCCAATGGTGATTAAAGTGGTAGTAGAAAAAATTGGTAGTAAGAATATCCTACCTCATGGAATAAATGTTCATTTGATGCTTCCTATGATTGTAAATATTAATTCGTAAATTATACAAAATTTAGAACACCAAGGATAAAAAATACATACCTGTGTTAGCCATGAAAGGATGAATAAGAAAGCACCGAAGACATTGGATCGAGATCGATGATATTGCTAAGCAAATTCTTCCCCACTACTTCTTAGGTAGGGCAATTGTTCAAAAGGGAAGCTAAAGATGAAAAAGTCTAAAGGTCTGTATATCTTATTAGGGTTTTATAATTCTCATTTAACATGAGAATTCAAATTTTCCTATACACCATTCGATTTCCGTCCTGACATGGGTCCTACATATAATTTTTTCTAACACCTGGGTCCCACATGCTTTTTTATCTCTACAACATGAGAATTGAATTCTCATTTAACATGAGAAAATCAAACCTCATCTTATTAACCCAATAAATCATCCTTTCATAATAGTGGTAGAGGACCTAACTGTAAATATGATTACTTTTCATGATAACTCTCCCATTATGGGTTATTAAGTAGGGTAATAATTTTTTTATGTTGCATAAGAAAAGTATTATCTCCTACTCAAACAATAAATAGGAAAGAGAAAAAAGTTAGGTGAGAGAAAAAAATTCTTGTGGGACCCATTTTAAAAGTGTGAATGTAGAAGATAATATTTCTTTTATGTAACATAAAAAAAGTAATTCCTTATTAAGTAATGACTGCTATTATGCTAATAGCGACACAATATAAAAATATTTGATGCACACATCCCAAACAATTAATTTGATCACATATGATAATTGGATTAGCGTAGAAAAAGTTCAGCACATGGGGAACAATAAAATTATCAATCAATTCTATGTTAAGGTCTCTAATTCTAGATTATAGGTGAACCATTTCTAATATAAATTCCTTGACACCCCCAACATTATCATATTTCATGGTGGTCAGTTCTTTCATACGGTATCCAGATTCTACATTATCAGACACTTGGTATTTGTCACTAATGTCTTTAAGTAAAGCTTTAGCGCTTGTAACCTTTCACAAACCACCTAAAATATGTTCAGGGATAGGCCTCTTCATGGCTATTAAACCGAGTCTATTAGACCTTTTCCACTTAGCATAAAATTCCCTTTGTTCAACAAAACTTTCTTCGGTTGGCTTATCAGGTTCATCCTTTTGCAATGTTAGGTTTATATCTATTATTCTCAATACAAATTTCTCGTCTTGCTTCCATCTCTTAAAGTTTGATCCATTTAAAACATCTACACTGGTACTATTATTAGTAATATTCACAACAAAAGAAAGTGTAAACTTGTCAAATCAAATAAGCCATATAAGGAGTATAAAGCACATAATACATACTCCCCTTTAGGCAGAGTTTGTAACATGCAAAGGAGACATATAAAGTCAATAGAAAGAATACATTAGTCTAAAAACCATCCCCTTTGAGTAGATGAGTTTTCCAGCCTAATGCATCTTTTACTTTAGATGTATCATCTACCGTAAAATAAAACATATAATAACCCCTTTTAGGCAGATCATTTATTGGTAGTAACCACAATTTTTAGTAACAAAGTGAAGATTATGAAAATCCATATGAACAAATTACTTTGGTGATAAATTCATGCACACAAAATAAATATTAGACTCATTGTAAATTTATACCGAACAAGTACCACAATCTATAATATGAAGCCTTATAATAATTTTCTAGCCAAAGTGAATATCACCAATGGATGCAAAATATAGCATATTCAATTTTTTAATGTATTTTTCTTAAAAAAAAATACCCCCCACAAAATTATAAAAATATTTATTGTAGCAGATTAAAAAAAAAGTAAAACTAAAAAATAAAAAATACATAAAAAAATCACATTTATTCTCATGCTCAAACTGTCAAAATTTGGTAAATAGCTTATTCCCCATATAGCGGGTCAACTAATGGACAAAACAAGTTCAACAATGAACGATGAAAACCAAGCGCCAATGCTTGAGTTTTGATGCGTTCAGATCCATATAAAACACCCACAACAAAACACAAATTTGTGTGAGATGAACACCTAAAATAATCAAGAAATTGTGTGTCAAAAAATTGTTATAGCCCATGATTTGCTCGCATGGCGAGTTGAAAATAAGAACAAATTTGGGGCAAAAGAATATCAATAAATATTGGGCAAACTACAAATGTTAATTTGCAAATCGAAAATCAAGCAAAGAAGATGGATTTATGATTTAGGGTTTTAAAATCCTAGGTTTAGAAAAGAGTTTTCCAAAACAAGATTTTCACTATATGGGGTAAAATTCGTAGAAATTTTGATGTCGATCAAAAGCTGAATGTTTGTTCTATAAAACCCCAAGATAATCGATTCAATTCCATGTTGAAATGTTGATTAAAAAATTAATTTATATATATTCAAGAACGAAAAAAACCATGACGATAAACTCAATACCAACACAGAATTCAATCGTGTTCAATAACGATTAATTGGGTCATAAATCATATATCTAAGGCTCTAATACTACTGTAAATATTAATTTGTAAATAATATGAAATTTAGAACACTAGCGATCAAAGGTACATACATACCTGTGTTAGCCATGAGTGGAGGCACTGGATCTAGATCAGTGGTCGCGCTAAGAAAGATCTTCCCCCACTACTTCTCAGATAGGGCAGCTGTTCAATGGGGCAAGCTGAAAAAGTATAAAGGTATATATATCTCGTTAACCTAATAAAGCATCCTTTTGGTATATTTTTAAAAGTAGTGGAAGGGGACCTAGCCGCAAAAATGATTACTTTTAATAATAACCCTTCCATTACAAGTTATTAAGTAATGGTCTATAACTTTTTCCTTTGCCACACAATGTAAAAATATTTGATCGCACATCTCAAACAATTAATTTGACCATATATAATAATGACATTATAGTGTATGTCTCTTAGATGTTATCCAACTATGCATATTATCAACCTATTTTTATAAAATCAAAATTAACAATCAATGATAGCTCACGAAAGAAAATTTCTAACATGGTGTTCATGTGCTTTATAACAAAGAAAACATAGTGGTGTTAGGAGACGACTGTACTAGGACAATTAAAAAAAAATCTCAAATTGTATAAGTATTGATTTTAAAAAATTCATAAAATAATGGTGTGATGATTTCAAAAGGATTTTGAATTTGATATGTGCAGGGAATATTGGTTTGCAAGTTTTAAGGCTCTTAACATTAATGAACTAGTGGATACCCTTCACTTCTCCCCATATATTGGGAAGTTGTTAGGGTGTTAACCTAAGGAAACAGGAAAATAGAACAAATGAGAAAAGAATGTTGTTATTCAGATGTTCTTCAATGGTTATAGAAAAGGGTTTTTATATACATCCATTACCAGCAAACTACTTTAACAACCCATCCAACGAATTAACAACCTAATAGTACAATGACCCCAACATTACACTATTCACATGCACTAACAATACACTAATCCCACGTTAGCTCACACTCACTTCATGCTACAAAATCAGCTAAATGCATTAAGTTCCTTCTAACCCTCACAGACTTCCTTAACATAACATCCCCATTCCTTCACAATCATCCATGACACCCCTCATTCCTGCAAATGAGCCTAAACTCTATCTGCCACGTTAAAGAATCACTCCTTGTGGTGCTTATCATATTGGACCTTCATACGATTGAGAGCCTTTTTCAATTGCACTTTGAGTTGAGCTAAGATGTTATTACGCTACTGTAACATTGTGTCTATAGCTTCTACCTTAATGAGTCT